TCATGCAAACGTAGCTGTGTTACACAACACGACCCTCTGCATCTTTTGCTCTGTCAGGGTCTAGCTAGTTTACATTAAACAAAGACCACTTCTCGTATAGCATCACGTTTACAAACATAAAGGTGCCTGTATCTCCAAACTTTACAATGAAACGTGTGGTTTTTAATAGAGCAATGGGCTCGGCTTGGCCAACAGCACCTTGTGTGAGAGTTTCACGTTCAATGTCGCAACTAGCCCAAAAAAATATTTTTTGGTCGTCGTCGTCGAAGAGGTCGACCCCCAGATCCACTTTGGCTGGTGGCGACATTGCGAAATCTGGGATTGGCAAGCTTGATCATGAAACTTTCACACAAGGTGCTGTTGGCCAAGCCGAGCACATTGCTCTAATAAAAATCCCACGTTTGATTGTAAAGTTCGGAGATACAGGCACCTTTATGTTTTTACTATGTTGTAAGCGTGATGCTATATGAGAAGTGGTCTTTGTTTAATGTAAAGTAGTATGACTATAATAGAGCAAAAGATGCAGAGGGCGTGTTTGTGTAACTTGAGTCATTCAGCACAGGCGATGCATGATTCTTGTACACTATTTAGGAATAGTTCAAAATGCCAGCTAATAACCTTAGTCCTCCCATTCACCTTTGTTGTCCAATCCAATGCATACGAACGATTGTCCTGCTCCAGCCCATCATCCCCATCCTTCAACTTTCATGATCGGAGAGGATTTGACTGAAAAACGCTCAAACACAGAAACATCATCCAATATCAGATGAATCAAATTGGTAAGTTATTGTAAACTGCCGGCTAATAGCCCATTCCTTCCATTCACCTTTGTTGTCCAATCCCATGCACACGAACGATTGTCCTGCTCCAGCCCATCATCCCCATCCTTCAACTTTCATGATCCGAGAGGATTTGACTGAAAAACGCTCAAACACAGAAGTATCGCCCAATATGAGAAAAGTCATTTTGCAAAGTTATTTGTGAACTGCCAGCTAATAGCCCATTCCTCCCATTCACCTTTGTTGCCCCAATCCAATGCATACGAACGATTGTCTTGCTCCAGCCCAGCATGCCCATCATTTAACTTTCATGATCCGAACGGATTTGACTGAACAACTCTCAACCATTCAACCATTCAACATCAGTTCAACCTACTTAATTTCCAGCTCTTCCACTCCCATCTTATTTTCTCGTGTTCGTTCACTATACACAATCGCTAATAGATGAAGAAGGCATCATGTTCTTTTACGTTTGTCAGGGGGGGTTACACGTTGGTTGTACAAATTTAGAAGTTTAGCTGCAAAAACGAATCGATGCGCACACACATAATAGACGCCAATCACCCTCACAGCAAGTCATGAGGTGCTTGTTCGAGGACTAATACTCGTATTGTTGTTATCGACCCAAGTGTAAAGGGTATTGTTAAGGTACACACTGTAACAGGCGGGGCGGCGTAGAGGGCACAAACCAGGAACAATGAAAGGAACGACCTTCTCCCACTCCCGCTTCACAACGATGCAAGGTAAGACCAACTCCATTTACACTCTCCACACCACTAACTTCTGGCATTGCCAACAATGCACACCGTCAATGGGTGAACAGGTGGTCAATGGCGACACATTCAGCTACAACAAGCACGTGCGCGATCTACCCATGACACAAGCTTCCATTCCAATACAACATGTAAGTTCAATCGCTGCAATTCCTTTTATTGTTCAAGTCGAACATTGTGGTACTAAAGTTCGCGTGTAGGTTGGTGTTGTCTCGTCTATACAAGACCCAATGAGGCGTCGTGTGCATTTCTTACCGAGTTGTCCACAATGAGAGTTCTCAAGACGTCTTTACATTGCCTCTTTTGGGTATGGTGACAACAAATGCGTGTGGGTTGGTTTTACTTGTTATCTCACATTGCGTTTATGGTAGGTTGAACATGTTGGATGATGGTACCTCTGGCAGCAACAAGACATTGATATCAAAGCAAGAACGCTGTACGTTGGCTCAATGGTATGTGTGGTATTGGATCTACAAAGCGAAACCTGCTAATTAACGAGACTTACAAGCGAAACAGCAGCAAGACAATATGGATGACATGGAAATACGGCTTTATTTGAGACAATGATGCTATTGAGAAATACCACAAGGTAAGATGTTCATTATGATGGGATTGGTTGGATTCAAGTGGACTTACCAAACGCCATACAGTGGCAGAGCCTCTTTCGGCGATACTATTTTGATCAATCAGCACGTCGAGGATGTCATTGTATAGTACTATGCTCTCCTGGGGAATTTTGGCCCGGAAACAGTGTGACTCAAGATGCGATGGCAAGGCCAATTTGAAAAGGCATCCGCTGTGCACACGGCCTCCATCCAAGTACGGCTATTGATTTCCTTGCCTACAGAGAGAAGGTGGATATCTCTTATGATGCCAATTTCAGGATCCAATGAGAGTATGGTACATATGGTGGCATACCTTGACGCTGCAGGTTGATTATTGTATTGCCTTCGGATGGTGTATTTGGTTGCAATTCCTTGTGATCACCATGGTTCAGGTATGTATGACTCTCATGCTTTTTGGAGACCTTTGCTGAAACGCCTACCATTATTTAGAGGGACCATTGCAGAGAGCTGCTTGTCTTTTGGTGCTTTGGAGTTTACAAGATCACAGCTATGATTGCTAAGTATTGTTGGATGAGTTTGGACAATTGTTTATGGTCCATCTTTTATAGGTGAATCATGTCAGCCATGGGGAAGTGTTTATGTCTTTGGTGGTGTCAACCTTTATTGCGTCTCGGGTGGTTGGTTACCAAGCAACGGGCGATTTCTCTGGAGAATGTCAGCCAATGAACGTCTTTTATGAGTGGATTGTATCAGCAACAATCAACAGCATCCATATCGTTGGTGTCATATCAAGCTTTATCCCATCATCTGGTTCTTCTCGTTATCGGCAATTCGGTGGGCATCCTGAAATGAAGGTCTCTTATCGATTGATCACATCAGCAACAAGGAACAACTTGTATATCTTTGATATCAGCAAGCTTTCTATCTCTTGGTGGTTCTGGTTATTGGCGATTCCTTTGATGGATCTTTACAACTATACGTGTCTTATGGATGGATCATGTCATCAACAAGCGATGAGAGTCCGCGTTGACATCTTTGGTGTTACCAAGGTCATTTATGCATCTCCTCAAGGCATTCATCGTCAAGCTGCATTCGATTTCCAATGAAAAACGATTGCCATTCAGATCGCTCTTTAGCCATATGTACGTCACTCCGCAGCTAGGATCTGGTTTGGGCTTTTCGATGCACAATGCTTTCTCGATTTTCATGTGGTCTTGGGCAGCAAGGATTGTCTCGTTGTCTCTCTTTGTAAGGGCTCTTCGGCATCATGTAAGTATGCTATCTCTGGTGGTATAAGTATTACTCAACCTTCTCACTGCATATGCCCATAAGGTATCGTTCCATGGCTTTCAAGCCGAGTACCACCGTAGCGGGCCTTATCAACAAGCGGACGATTGCAAAGCATAGGCTTGATTTGGATATCAGCAGGATTTCATGCATATGGCTATCATTGGTAAGTTATGATCCGTTCATCTTTTCCACGCTTACCAACCTTCTCTTTCACTGTAGTATGTGGGTTATTCAGCAAGCTACTTGTCTTCTGGTCCTTTGGAATTTTCATGGATGAAGCTGTCATTGAATGTCGACATGTTTTCGTGCATATGGCTATCATTGGTAAATGGTGATCCGTTCTCTTCTACAATGCCTACCAACATCTTCTTTTATTATAATGTGCGGGCTATTCAGCAAGCTACTTGTATTCTGGTTCTTTGGGATTTTCATGGATGCAGCTGTCATTGGATGTCGACATGTTTTCGTGCATATGGCTATCATTGGTAAGTTATGATCCGTTCTCTTCTTCAACGCCTGCTAACCTCCTCTTTTATTATAGTATATGGGATATTCAGGAAGCTACTTGTCTCTTGGTCCTTTGGGATTTTCATGGATGCAGCTATCATTGAATGTCGACATGTTTTCGTGCGTATGGCTATCATTGGTAAATAGTGATCCGTTCTCCTCTTCAACGCCTGCTAACCTCCTCTTTTATTATAGTATATGGGATATTCAGGAAGCTACTTGTCTTCTGGTGCATTGGGATTGCTATGGATGCAGCTGTCATTGGATGCCAACATGTTGACATGCATATGGCAATCATTGGTAAATGATGATCCGTCTTTTGCTACAACCCCAACCAACCTCCCCTTTTATTATAGTATGCGGACTATTCGACAAGCTACTTGTATTCTGGTTCTTTGGGATTTTCATACATGAAGCTGGCATTGGTAAATAATGATTCATTCTTTCTTTCAATGCCTACTAACGCCCTCTTTCATGTGGGTTATTCAGCGAGCTACTTGTCTTGTTCCCTTTGGATTCTTGATGGATGCAGCTATCATTGGATGTCGACAAGGTTTTATTCATATGGCTTTCATTGGTAAATAGTGGATGATCCGTTTTTTGGCTCCAATCCCAACCAACCCCCTCTTTTATTATAGCATGCGGGCTATTCAGCAAGCTACTTGTATTTTGGTCCTTTGGAATATTCATGGATGCAGGTATCATTGCTAAGTATCGTTCTATGTGTTCGGGAAAGTGTTTACCGTGCATCGTTTATAGGCGAATCATGCCAGGGTCAAAGAGCAACGTCTATAGCATCCTTCAGTGTCAGCTTGCCTTATTACATCGTTCGATGGTTTTCGTTACTGTACCACCTATTGGACACTACCTTTTATTTGCATCTGCAGCGGCAAGGCAACAAGTTCTATACCTTTTGGTGTCGCCAAGTTTTATCTCGTCTTATTGTGGTCCTAGTTGTTGACAACCCTTTCAATGGATATCCTGCTACGCATGCCTGTTATCGGTGGATCATATCAGCCACAAGCAAGAAGCAATAATGAGCCACAGAGCCCACATCTTTAGTGTCAACAACATTTATTTGATCCTCTGGTGTTCTCGTTATTGGCCAATTGATTTCAAGAGCCCTCTTCACCGCACGTATCTTATGTATCACATCAGCAACAAACAACAATGTTACGTGTCCTTTTGGTGCTGTCAAGGTGTATCCATCTCTCGTGGCATTTTCATCAAGTATCGCTTGGAGAAACGGCTATCAGGATTGGTGACTGTGTCGGCATCTCTACAGCAAGGAAATGTATTCTGATTACTGGGTAGCATCAAACATTGTGGATTCTCATATGACACTGGCTAAGTATTGTTACCATTACCTCAAAGATAAATTAGTGATATGCAGTTTTATAGGCCCATCATTCCATCAAGCTGTAATTTCGCATGCTCTTTGGTGCCATCAAAGTCTCTCCTTACAACTGTCAATGGAGAATCCTATTGAGTTGGAAGACGAAGATCAACATTTGAATTTGGGTGAGTGTCTCAGAAGCAAGCAAGCGATCTCTATCTTATAGTTGGGGTTGTCAAGGATACCGTTTCCATGGTTTTGGAAATCAGCTACCTGCAAGTCGTCTCTTTATCGGTGGATCTTCAGAGCAATGTTTTTATCGGTGCCATGGCGGATCTCATTCCTCAAGTACTTGTATGGATACCTTGGACATTCTCTTGGCTTCTCGCGTATGCTTTTCATCAAGACCGGATTTATTTGTTGCAGTGCATGATGTGTCTCTCTGATGACGCCTACCCAAGAAGGTCGCTTGATGGCAGCTACTACTGATATGGCGGATGTTTATTTGCTATGGGTAGAACGGGATGGTGCTTTACTCTTTTGCGTGAAGCATCGTTGGCAGCTATGATTCATTTACGACAGTGTGGTCAGCCCTATCATGGCCCTATCAATTGCATTTGAGGATTACTGCCTTAGCCGTTGGAAGTTAGACTGTTACTCAGTGGCCTTGTGGTAGATATGGGATCATGTATTGCTTTTCGCTCTTATGGGTCGGCCTCTGTGGGCGTGGGATGCTATCCTTTTATCAGACCGAACATGTTGGCTCGAGCAGCACCTATAGAAGATGCTGTTGTTTACAATGGCAGCCCCCATTATCCGGCTTGGTGCACCGCAGGGGAGAGGGTGACGGCAAAGCCTTCGCGTGGCCATCCTTGTCAGTACATGGGTTTCCATGGAAGCTAATTTGCCACCTTATCATTTATATATTTATTACGCATTCATGAGCTTCACTAGCAGTACTCTAATAGCTATACTTTGATGTGGGGAAGATGACGGATAATCTACAGCATACGTCAAGATAATACCATGGAGCGAGGCTTTCTTTGCAATCAATCAATGTTGAAGGGTTGCTTTTGATCATACCATTTTATCACGTGATTACAATAGTGTTCTGCATCAGGCTGTGAAAAAGGCAAGTTGGGCAGAGCAAAATTTGGGTATCCCTTTCACGTCTACTCTTCTTTCTCTTCAACTGCATTTCACTCCACTGGACAATGACATCCACAGCAACTTCTTCGCTACGATTTATTCTCAAACGATGACAGCACGTACATGGACACCTTGCACTAAATCTTTACGCGTCGAGCAGCGAACATGCAAAGAAACAGGCGCTCGGGTTCTTTTGCAAGCTTGGTGACAACGAGCAGCCACTTCTAGGGGATGTCTTCCTTGCGTAATATTACAGCAGCATGTTGTTCAGCTTTATCCATCACACAACATCCATTGCATGTAATCATTACCATCACCTCTTCATCCACCCAAGACACGCGCCATATCCAACAGCACATCACTACAGGATATTTGTATCATGAGTCACCCACATCAAGGTATAGAAGAGTATGGATGGATCTGTTGATCAAGGAATGATAATTAATATCGTGAATCATAGGGCGTAACGGTTGGCGTGGAGTATACCATATCTGACGGCTATTGATACCCATTATCAAGTATGCAACAATACAGCCAACTCTCGCAATGCATGATACATATCACAACGTGATTGGGCTGCCACAAAGAATGACGAAGCAAGAGATTGACTACCAACACTCGCCTTTCTTGATACAACGCAACGTCTTGCACTATCCTTGGCCGCAACCGAATGTAACAGCATTCATACCAGTAGTTGCTGTTAGCGATGCCTTACTCCATTGTCTCAAGCAGCGTTCTTTACTTGCAGCAACCTTTCCTGCAGCCTTTTTCTACGTGAACAGCAGATAACCATTACATAGAAACAGCTTTATTTACGTGTAGCAACTCGCCTCAATACATACGTCTCCTTATGGATATGGATTTGGATTTGAATATTGGTTTGGGGCATTGGACGGAAGGAATTGGATAAATACAGCATGTGGAAAAAGGGGTATCCATTGTCAACTTGACCTTGATGCTTTCATCCTGAATGAGTGGTGCATCCAGCTATCGCACTTCAAGCTATTGCATGGAAGCTACTATCATCGTCCTTTGTGAAACCTGTCAACTATCCTGATTCAACTCTATACGTGTGTGTGTGTTTGCAACTTCGAATCCTGTATGCAGCCAAGATCCAATTACATCGATATCAAGAAATCGCCATCGAATCATCATCATCATCATATGTAATAAGATGTTACTTTATTAAGAGCAACGTAGTATCGTAAATACCCAATGTTGCAACAGGCTAAAGCAAAATGATTCGATCTACATTAATCCTGGGGTGTGAACGGCTCTAGATTGTTTTGTTGTTGTTGGAGGAGGAGGAGGATGGGAGATAGTAGGCGTGGTAGGATGGGTGTTGTTGTAGTTGACATGGTATTGGATGTATGTGTTTAGAGGAGCATCTTGAGAGGGTTCTCCATGAAGCCCTTGAAAGCCTTCAACCAGGTTGCTGCAACAGCGCCATCAACGACACGGTGGTCACTGGAAAGAGAGACTTCCATAACATTGCGAACAGCAAGACCCTTTTCCTTGGTAGCATCAGGAACCACCTTTTGAGTGGTAGCACCAATAGCGAGGTTGCATGCCATAGGAGGGTTGATGATGGCAGTAAAGTGCTTCACGCCGTACATACCAAGGTTGGAAATGCTAAAGCTGCCACCTTGGTATTCATGAGGAGCAAGCTTGCCGTTGCGTGCACGAGCAGCCATATCCTTGACAGTGTTGGAAATATCAGACAATCCACGGCCCTCAACACCGGTAACAATGGGAGTAAGCGAACCGGTAGGGGTGGCAACAGCAATAGAAATATCGGCATTGTTGTATCTAAATGACACATACATTCATCATCAGCATGTTGATTTTTTCCCTCCATTCCTTAAAATACTCACTGTCTGATAATGTCGCCTTGCCATGCAGCGTTGACTTCAGGCACTTGCTTCAAGCTGAGAGCGGAAGCCTTGATAATAAAGTCATTGACGGAGAGCTTGTAGCTACCATCACCAGCCTTGTTAAGGACCTCACGAAGCTTAGTGATCTGGGACATGCTGATCGACTTTGTCTGTATAAAAGCATGCTTCATTATGAAATCTTAAATGGGAGGGTGCAATGTGGGATTTACTATAGAGGTCGGAAAGCAGGTCAGCGCCGGACAAATGTTTTCGTATCTATATTATCAGTGGTGAGGAGAAAACACCATCATCGCAGCCTTCATTCAAGTGATGCCAATAACAAGTCCCTTACTACTAAACTCAAAACGACATCACGCTTTTGGTAGACCCCACAGCTACATAGCAGCTTGATAAAGATGTATGGATCCTTCGATTTTGGCATGGAGTTCTCCACCAATTTCGAGCTAAGGCAAGGCGTGATGAGTGATACACTCTATTGCCTGGAGGACATTCTATGTTGGTTACCATGGATTGGGATCAGCGTGGTGCAAGCGATGGGGAAGGCCTAAAAAGGAGCTTGCAAGGGTAGCTGTCAAGAGCTTAATGCTCCGATTTAGGAGCAGATGGTGCATTGTTGTGTTGCACAAGAACAATGCAGCAGTAGGGGACGAACGATATGGGAGACAGCAAGTGGAGCGGGGGTAAAGACTCACATCCTCTTCTCCGTTTACATCCAAACCTGTTGTTCTTTTTTTCTTCCTATCTCGATGCTATCACTCTTACAAGAAAAAACAGTGTTACTCAACTCTCAATACATTGAATACTCTCAGGTCATTCAACATGTCGCCGATCGGCTTTTACGCGACGTCGAATTACTCGACATGTCACCCATTGAGCTAGCACATGCAAAAGACTTTGTTCGAGATCATGGTAAATACATTTGTATTGATTTGCAAAGCAACTGGGGTTTTAGAGTTTTGGTTGGGGAATATACATAAACAGCAAACGGATGGATGGGAACCATCATCATCATGCTTCCTTCCAGGAGAGGACGATCTTCTTCGCAATTCACGTGCTCATATTATTTTCCTAGTAACCATTTTTCGATTCTTGAAAGAGGCCGATTACAACGTTGAACGTGCTTATGAATGGCTCTTGGATACAGTACAATGGCGTCGAGATCAAAGTATTGCCGACATGTCCTACATTTCGAGTGCAGGCAACTTTTACAGCGAGACAAGTGGTGGATTTGCTTTCTTCCATAAGCAAGATCGTCTTGGTCGACCCATAGTCATGGTGCGTATGCGTTATTTCCCACAAATGCCAAAATCATCGACGACCAGTCTCACGGATCTAATACGACCCTATGCATGTCTCATCATGGAAATGGCAAGAAGGTTGATGCTCGACATTACGCGACAAAGAGAGCAAGAGGGTATATCATGTGCACTGGTATCTCAAATGGTGGTCATTATTGACATGGCTAAATCTCCCTTTATCCCTATTGTAAGTGCATGCTGCTATGTATCTCAGTATAATGATGCTTATGGATGGTTGAATTATAGGATGCCCAATTGATCAAGGCCATGATAGAGCTGATGGAGAAACGATTCCCGGACTTTGTGGGTTCTATTTACGTCATGAACTTTGGATGGATGTATCAAGGCCTATGGCAAATGATCAAGTACCTGCTAAGCGATGAAGCACGCAGCCGTATTAGCTTCCCTGGTGTCAAGGAGATTCTAGAGGTGGTTCCACAAGAAAATTTATTAAGAGGTAAGTGGATCTTGCTTGTCATTGGCTTTCGTTATTAATCATCCATGGATAGAATTGGGAGGGACCGATGATTATATATGGAGCATAGACAATGACATAGCATTGGAGAAATATGGAATGGGATCAACAGCAGAAGCATTGGTTGAATCAACGATATCACCACCAGCATCACCACCCTTATCATTACGACGTTCTTCCATATCATCCACGCTATCATCTGATACCTTTTTCGATGTCAATGAATCATTTTACGACACACAAAGTATATCCAGTGCATATGCAACACCCGGAAGTATGACGCCCATCTCAACATCTCCACAGCAACCAATATCATCTCCATCGATACCCCCATCACCAGCTGCACCAGCGCCTCCACAACAAAACATCATCATTCAGCATACACCAGAGCCTGTACCTATTCAACAGCGAGGAGAGATGACAGCGTGGTCACCAGCAACTCTTCCATCAACGCATCAATATAACGTTTACTATTGGACTGGATTACACATGGGCGCTGCTTTCTTGACATCATTTATCAAAAGCGATCACGATGATCAGCATCCTCATATTACCATTGCAGCATTATTCAGTAGCCATCCAACAAAGAACAAGAGCAACAGTGGTATTGATGGATTTTTACTTGCAGCTCAACTTGCTTTGGTACAACAAAAACAACAACAACAGCAGCAGCATGAAGATAATATCCAACATAGCATCGACGCCAAAACAGAACACAAAGAACACGATGATTTGGCTTTAATTGAACGACACACGCCTCATTTTCCACACTTGCTACCAGCTGATGATCCTCAATCAGCCTACGCTCTTGCTCCCTTCCGTATGAGGATACACAGTATTGAGCACAAGATTGTTCGGTGGGCACGACGCATGTTTCGCATGTCATTCGCATACAAGGGCGCAGTCTACTGGGTGATCCTATACATTTTCTTACGCGGACCCACTGAGCATGTATTAAGGCGCACATTGACTACTGTTGTTGATACCCCACAGCAAGTGAAATATACGACGATTGGTATCACTGCTGCAATGGCCGCTGCTATTGGTTCCTCCATCTCTTTTTCGCTCAACACTGCAACACCCCGCTTATAATCAAGACTTGTCGTATTGTTACTATCATTATTAATAAACATAGTGTTGTTGGATGTTATCAAGCTCTAAAAGATACCAGGCCTTCGTATGTATTATGTGCACGAACAGCATGAAAGACGTTTAAAAGTACGGTGATCCAATCGTGACCTTTTGCTGAAGGCGAGGTAAGAAGAGCAAGGAATAGAAGAGCAAATGGCATGTAGATAAGAAGCATTACGCAACACTAAGGCATCTGTTTCATACGTAAGTGAATAAGCAGCATATAGCTTTGTTCTACCGTTGGATATGAGATGCGTAAATCACGCATTACTTGGGTGGGTGCCAACCAATCATTTTCTGCATGCGTCACATAGCAACCACAAAACTCCGATGAAAGCAAAAGTCAACTTTCACATCCTGGTCTCTTACGAAGCTGCGATCGTCAACTCCATAAGCCATCTCATATGCCTGTTCGGTCTGTCCAGTGAGAGCCACCCCTTCGTGATAGCTTTTATGTTATGGGGAAGGACACAGGGCTATAGACGAATGAGGTGTCAGGATGCAGGGGAGGAATATTGGGATGGCGACCTAGTAGTTCAAAGTGCACTTGCCTTGGGTTCCAACCAAAAGGATATACAAGGTAATGATTCGATTAAGCATATAAGTAAATGTCTTACTAATGGCGCGTACTGGACAACTGCTTTGGAGGGAACTACCAACGGCTTGTGGAAGAATTCCAAGGCGATTTATCAGCAACAAACTTATGGCGACAAACGTTCACTTGTATATGGATTTGCGAAGCAACACATGAACAATCTTATCTTGGATCATCTATCAAGCACCTTTTCTTTCTTGTCGACCAATATATAATAATAAACTTCTCATTTCATAATACTCTTTGGTCCAATATCGGCAACAGATATATAGAATCATTTTACATGCTATGTAATTAGGTCGCAGCACCAGTAACCCCCTTAAAGAATGCATAAAGATATCATGGGCACAATCAATCATCATACATCATTTCCACTACTAAGAATTACCTATGTTGCTGTACTACGTATCAAGATTGTTGTTCACATGCACGGCAATCATCGATGGTACGCCACAAAGAAACGTTCAGCGCACTTGAAAGCATCTATCCATCGAACAAGAACTCAAGCCTGAGAACCGAGACATCTCGATGGTCATTCTTTGCTGTAAGCCAAAATCATGCTGGGGGACCTTATGACACAAGAAAAGCAGCTTTGGCCTCATGCTTCATTGCACTGCAACACATACAATATACTTTCGGATGCACTGAACACTTTTGGCCTCTTAGCGACGCCATGGTTAGCTCGAAAGAAATTCCATACGAGCTATCATAGGTGGAACTTACTACCCAAGTGATCTGATCACCGAAATGAAGCTTTATGGAAATTACTAGTAAGGTGGTGTGACCTCCAGCTATACAACGAAGACAAATGACAGGAACCTTCCATCAATAATCAAGATTTTGTCGTATTAATCACTATCATCAATATACACAGTAGTTGGATTATTATCAAGCTCTAAAGAATACCAGGTATCAAGGCGGCTCTTGTTGCTGCATGAGGAAACTTTGATTCATACCAGGCCTTCGTATTATGTGCACGAACAGCAAGGTAAGCAGCGGATCCCAACTGTAGAACAAACGTCATCCCATTTTGAGACACAAATCCCATGGCGATAAAGGCAATGATTTCACCAAGCTATCATGGAGGCAATTTGATGAGTGATATTGACAGGGGCATCCAGCTCCTTTATACTTACATAATGTGGACACCATAACCATGGGAAGAGTCCTTGTTCAGGTACCTAGTAGTAGGGACATCATTGAGGACATGCATACATCAAGCGTCAAGGATACTCACCTTATACCTCACATCATCTTTCTCTTTTCGAAGTCCAGCAAGAATACGATGATGGTAATGGTTCATGATCTCTCCAACGATAAAGAATGTTGCTCCAAAGGTGACTTGCTTTCGCACAATGTGATCCACTGGCACACGAGCAGTCAAATAAACCAATCCCATGGCATGCACTGCATAACAAGTCGAGATCAACAAGACGTCCTTTATCAAGGCGCTACCCGAATACTTGTGTAGAAAAAGGACCTCCTTGAATAAAACGTTTAGTTGCTATGTATGAATGATGACAGCGATAACTGCATTGACCTACATATATACGCTTCATATAATGAAAGGCGTTTAAAAGTACGGTGATCCAGACGTGACCCTTTGCTGAAGACAATGTAAGAAGAACAAGGAATAGAAGAGCGGATGGCATGTAGATAAGAAGCATTCCCCAACGCGATGGTATCTATCCCATATGTAAGTGAGTAAGAAGCAGTATATAGCAAATAATGTTATTCCTACCTTCCATATGGTGTTGTTGTTGGATGCAAACTTGGAATAACCTAGCCTAGTAGTTGGCTTGAGCTCTCGTAGAACGACAATACCGTCACCAATGATTGCTGTGAAGAATAGGGTGATGTTTTGTAGTGAGTAATCTGGTATATGCATTCTTGTTACGTCTAGAGAATGGAAGAGAAAAAAGTTTATTGGGTTGCTTTATACGACTATGGGCAATTCAATTTCATTGTCTTGATTCATGCACAAGGGGACAAAGGGGTTCAAGTCATCATGTGCTAATTTCATCTATCCCATCATTTACCAACGCCATAGAGATGCAAGCTGACGTTTTGGCATTAAATATCAATGTCGTCTCCATGGATACGTGTGTACATATGATGATGGCGCCATCCATTGTCGAGTAGTCAATTCCACCACGAGGCACGATGATGCTACACACCAAAAGTTGAAATGCCGCAACCCCCCAATTTGGGCAACAGCCCTTCATTTCTTTAACCCTTTCACAAACGACGATGGAAGATGCTCGCGAAGTGGCAGTCGCCAAATTGGCCGATATATTAAAGCATCCAGATGATCTCAACACCAAAGTCGGCGCATTGACTCGCAAGATTGCAAAAGAAAAGGCCACCATCGATGCTCAGCTCAACACCGGTGTGCAGACCCAACTCGACAATGTGCAAGGTGGTTTGGAGACACTGACACTTTCTCGGGAAAGCAGCAACAAAATCAAGGACAACATGCAGCTTATCGATCGCCTTTGCCGTGAAGCTCAAAGTATGATTGGGGACTTTCCTCGCATTGCCAAGGTATAAAAAGGCCACTGGAAAACACAAGAACACGAGATGCTAATAGGATGGCAATAGATATCACGTATTCACCAGAACTTTGTCGCCACGTATCAAAAGGTGCAGGCGCTTCAAGAATTGTATCAGCGACTCAAGGACCTTGAGGACATGTTTGCACCTATGCAGCAAGACATTTTCATGTACGATGGACCTTTATTGCATGTGCATTATCAGCTATTCAAGCTCGAGGAATTCCGTGACAAGACAATGCACCAAGCACGAGATTCACCACACGACGTGATTATTACGCTCAAGACATACTTTCGACGATTGGATGTGTTATCGGATGACTTTACTCAGTATCTTTGGGAGTTGACACGCAACTTGATCCCGTTGGTGGAACGTGATTGTGGTCCGACCATTGTCAAGTTGGTCAAGATCATTGAAGCTGAGGAGACGGCGGATGAAAAAGCGTTGGCTGCACGACAAGCACAAACCAGTCATCAAGATCTTCAAGGAACCAAAGGATGGAGATTGGCTGAAGGGAATCCTCGTACTATCAAATCCTATCGTGTGCAATTCTTTGAGCAGCTTCATCAATCTCTTTTGGAACGATTTACCGAGCGGCTGGCACCGTACAGGGAAAGTGAGGATTGGTGTGGAGCATTGGATGCGACCGATTTCATCTTCAATGATCTTGAATTGGTATACGACGAGATTGTGCCCAAGTTTCCAAAGCGATACAAGATCTACCCATATTTTGTTCTCGAATATCATCGCCACACATACGACTTTTTGAATGAGATGGTCAATCAGGATTTAGACGCCGGCACCATCCTTCGTCTGCTTCGATTTGTACGCGACTATTATTCAACAATGAGCACACGTCTTGGCGTCACTGAAGAATTACTTGAGCCACAGCTATTGGATGGTCAGGAGCAGTCGCTGGTCGACGAGTATCTCAAATTGGTGCGTAGCAAGTTGGTCGAATGGACATCCAATTTGATGCAAGCTGAATCACGTGATTTTGTTCAACGCAACGAGCCACCGGATATGTCACCTGATGGACAATATGGCATGTCGGGTGCAGTCGACATGTTCCAAATCATCAATCAGCAAATCGATGTGGCAGCGGATGCCAACCAGGGCAAGCTCTTGTATTTGGTGGTCAATGAATGTCATAAGGTGATGAAGGATTCCCAGAGTTTTTGGAAGAAATTGCTTGCATCGGAGAAGCGAAAGCAACTTGAAGAACCGGATGAAGCACCTGAAGGCTTTGTCGAGTATGTGATGGCCATGTCCAACGACCAAATCAAGTGTGCAGATTTTGCGGAGGAGATTCTGGATCGGATCATGCCTATGGTGGAGGGTAAATACAAGTCGCAAGTGCAAGAAAAGCTCACAACGGCAGTGGATGGATACATGCAAATTGCAGCTGGTGGACGAGATGCATTATTGGATGTCACCTTTAACGATATTAAGCCTGTGTTCCATGAGCTATTTACGCCACGGTGGTACGAACAGCCACTTATTCCATCCATCATTGAAACACTCAAGGATTACTGCCAGGATTTCGCAGCCCATCTCAACGAGTTTTTATTCAATAAGCTTATGGATGATATTTTGGATCGCTTTATCATGCTGTTTTTGGAAGCCATGCGAAACAAGAGTGCCAAATTCCACATGGATGTGTGTCTGGATAAGATCCAAAAGGATGTACGTCTTTCATTCAACTTTTTCGCAAAGTATCGACCTGTGGAAGTATTGGAGGAGCGCTTCGATGTCATTGATAAGGTGCACACGTTATTGGAAAGCAACCGTCGAATGATCTTTGTGGATTATTATTCTCTGAGACAAGCCTATCCTGATGTGCCATTAGCATTCGTGGAGGATATCCTTAGCAAGCGTGATGATTTGGATAAAGCAGCTCTCAAGGATATCATTGAAGGTATCAAGGCCAAGGCACGAGAATATGAACCTGATGCCAACACGCCTCCTACGATCTTTAGCAGGATTAAATGGTAAAATAGTGTGTTGCGTATACCCATCATCTCCCTTTAATGCATTTCCCTCTCTCCCTCCCTACAAACCATGTTGAGAACACAAAATTGATTGGTGCACGGAGCTATAAATAAAATGGCAGCTGCCGCAGTTCGCCCATTTGGTTCTTTCTACTACTACTCTTTTTTCTCACTCAACCACTTTCAGCAAGTTCTCTTTTACTCCTCCTTGCTCCTACTCGTCTTCTCTCATCTCAAGACTTCATCTCTTTTCCTGATCAACGACATTTCACTCGTCTTTTCTTTGTAATCGTTGGATCTCGACTCGTTCTCAAGAACCGTTTACGCATCTACAAGAACTCTCAAGCTTATCTCGACTGAACGTTCTCTCTCTCACTTGCACGCTCTCTCTCTCTCACTTTCTCTCGAAGACTCTTTGGCTCTTTCAAGCACTTTGTAAGTCTCATGATGACTCCTTGTCTCTTCAAGTTCCTTCTTGGTCCGTCAACTGCCAACAATGTGAGGCGTGCTTTTCGCTTCCTGGAGCAGTGAGAGGAAAAAAAGTCATTTTGCAATTGTATGTTTATTGGGGACTCCCCTATGGATGGGGTTGGACATTTGCCGCACACACACACGCACACACACACACACACACATATGCACCTGAAGACGCGGTAGTGTTGTTTATCAACGGATTACGCATGCATATCCTGCCACCATGATGTCGGAGACTTTGTATCGGTTTTGCTTGGCCATCTTGACGTGGGTATTGACGATCATAGCAACAACGACCAGCTCAACTACAACAATCTCAACAACATCATCAGCAGCAGCAGCACTATTGTGAATGAATCAGCAGCAACTACGTGATGGGGGAGTGAACATGAAAACAAAAGAGGGGGGAAAAAGTGTATTGGGTGGATGGCGTTGCACATGACTTTTTAGCTCTCGCTCTCCCTGACAGGAAACGACCAGTTGGAACGACACACACACACACATTTGTTTACGAATTGATCTGCTGACATCACCTCTCTCTCTCTCTTTTTCTTTTTCTTTTCTTGGGGGAAAAAAGAATATTTATATATCATGGCACCTCGCAGAAACAACAGCTACTCGAGCAATGGACGCATTGTCACCGTCGGTGGTAGTGGTGGTGGTGGTTTGAATGAAAGGTAAGCGATCAAATCATGTCACATCATCAAGAGAAATGAAGCCTCATCATCCATTTGATTATAGATTCAGCCAACTTGAAAAATCCAGGAAGCAAAACCCACCTGCAGATAGCCGTAGTGGTAGCGTGTTTGCACGTATCCGTGCCGGTAACAACAACAACAGTCGTCGTAACGATATTCAGAGCCGACTCAGCAAGCCTGCCAAATCGGGTGCCATTCGCAAGCGTGGTGGTCCCACTCCTATGAAGGGTATTGAACGTACTGGTCCTGCATCTCGACGTGGTGGCAATAGAGGTAATGCTGCTACCACTGCTGCTGCTGCTGCTCGTGGTGGTAAGGGTGGCAAGAATACCAAACGAGGAGGAGGAGCCAACAACAACAACAACAGCAAGCGTGGTGGTCGTGGTGGTGGTGCCAAGCGTGGTGGCAAGCGAACTCGTCTCTCTGCAACGGATCTCGACAAGTCGTTGGATGATTACATGATGAAGGATCCCAAGACTGCTCAATCGAGATTGGATGCTGAGTTGAATGAATACATGGATGAATCCGGTGATATTCTTATGGACATCTAATTCCATCCTTTCATTTCTCTTCTTCATGGCACACAACACACACATACGCACACAACACGATTTCCCCTTTCTTATTCTATTCTCCATATTGTCAAAAAATCTTCCATTGTATACATACATTAGTCTTCTCTTTTTCTTCAATGCATTTGCAATAACAATACATCGGTTCGTTCGATTGATTAGCGCTTTTATTATGATGATGATGACGATGATGACGTATCTTTGTCTTTGTTTGTTGTATCGAGATAAAAAAAAGGTTACTGATAATGATGGGAATGGGAGTAATGATGGGAATGGTGTTGGTTGTATGCCGAAAGGATGATGGAGGTAAATGTATACAAGTTAGGAGTCTGTTTCAGCGATTTTGCGTTTTCGTTGGTACTTGATTGGAGGAGGTAATGATGGCGGAATAGGACTCGTAGAGGAGGAGTTGATGGTTGGTATGATAATGGACGTATCAGACTCAATAGCTTCGATAGTCGCTTTCATCATGTTGCGTACTTGGCATATGATAGTGATCAAGGGGGGGGTGATCTTAAGAAAATTCTTCCACTGAACTTGGGTACTTCAGTGGTCCTATCTTTGATGTCCGGCACACGTATCCATCTGGGCAATCCATGATCTGTAAAAGTGGATTTAGTGCTTGCATCTTGTAAGTTCCAAAAGCATACATACCAGATATGAGAAAGTCTGCTACCCTTATCTTCACTACTGGCTTGGTGTCGGTCACTTCGCCATCCAAACAGCTTTAGCACAGCCGTATTCTTGCTGTAGATATGAAAAAAGCATATCAACCTTATGTCTATATGCTTTCCTGCTGATCTTCTTGGCGCCAGATATCAGCCTGTACGTGTTCATTCCATTTGATCATGCCATGCTTGCTTTCTTCCACCTACGATTATAGCAATGTTAATGTTATCAACAATCAAAGGAATACAATTAAGCGTACCATTGCACTTGCGCACCAAGAGGGTCGAAGCATTTGTGTGATTCTGATTGATCTGCAGCGGTAAAAGCTTGTCGAAAAGAGGTCGAGCGCTTCAACATCGTTTTCTCGATCCAATGTAGGTCCGGGTTTATGATTGGATGGTGCGTATAATGGAGCTCCGGGCCTTGCTGTTGAGAACATGTAAGGAAGATGACCTTAAAGGACATACAAAACTACTTTACTTTGCCAAGGTACTAACCACCATGTACACCGCGTGGGCCTGCAGCAACGTTGAGTGCTTTTTTCGCCTTTTAATGAAGCCATTATATCAACGCCATGCGGGCTGGAGTAGCATGTGCCACCTAATCCAACTTTGCAGATGCATCTTGGAGAAGCTACATCAAAAGGAATGTGAGAGTGCATCATTCAGTAATACGTTTATGTTTTACCTTCATAAAAGAGCCAAGTATCTTGATGACAATGAAGTAGGATAACAATGTAGTACTACGCATGGCCAATCAGCTCTAATCTGCAAGGTTCATATCCGATAGGATAGTACTCACATCGACTTGGGCTTTGGAGGCATCAGCAATAGAAAAACGAGTGGTATAATGTAAGAAAGAGAAGAGATGGAGGAGTATTATGGAAGACAACATCCTTGTTGTTTATGTATACATGGTGGGCGTGGGTATTTCCCTTGATCACAAAGAAATGGTCTTTTGGGGATGATACATCATAGATCATTGATTGATTGGTTTAGCTTTTTATCATGGCGTTTCAAACAACAATCCCTGTGATATACATGCTGGTAGTTTTGTGGTTTCTTTATTCATACAACTAACAATGAAATGCTATATAGGGTGAACCTGCACGCAAGGGTGGAGTTGTCAAGGCAACAGTGCAATCCAACATGGTGACATGACCTCCGATATCTTGTGCGACCTAAAGCCAAGGCGACACGCAAATTTTGCATGCGGGGGTGAACACATGGCTGTTGCTTTCTTTTGCGAAGAACTTGCGAACATCAAATCGCTCCGTGCCGTAGTCGGTGTCGATGCCAACAATGTCAATCTCAAGGATCAGCTATCTCTCAAGGACAATACTCTATTCGCAGGCAACGTACCCGTGATCAGTTTCAACGCCAACAACTTGCATGTGGATCCACGTCTTTTGCTCATGACGCCTCAAGCGTCACCGACTTGTGGTGGCAGTATCGTTGAAGCCAAGATGACAGTCAGCGATAGCAAGATGGATACTATGGATGATGATCTCAAAGTATGGTGGCCCGTCAAGGAATTGGAAACGATGCAGGGTTTTACATGTCGTACATGCAACACGCGTCTTGCAACAACGTCTGGTTTTCGATGCAAAGCACTTCCATCAGAGCACTGGTACGAGTTGGTAGAATGCTGGATTTGTCACGAGACCAAGCCTGAAGAACATCGCGCTCGTATGCAACCCATCTCTGCACGGCCTCAAACGCTATTAGCAGGCACAACTTATCTTTTGATCCATCCCGATGACTTGAAGAACGATCAACAACAAGTATCAGTCGTTATGAATGAAGCGTCAACTTTATCTCCTGACAAGGTAAGCATTATCCCCACTCTATCCCACACACGGATTTTAAGAAGGCCGGTGGTGCGAAAGTCCATGCCCAATCTGGTCGATACAAAAATCCAAGATCAATATGCTTCACAAAACAGCTTGTGGAAGATTAAGTTCTCGTCTTCATCATGGGCTACTACAGGAGCAAACACATTTCTTATTACAAGATACTAACACTTGTATTCTATAATAGTGGACAATCTCGCGACAATGGATACCTGTGCAATGCAAACAATGCCAATCTCCCCTGGGCGAAGGTCAATACGACAAAGCTGAAGGTAAGAATGATGATTGTAATCAATCAACGGTCCACCTGTTTACTCACAAGGTGTCGATATAGATAATACAATTTCATTATTGGGAGTGAAGCTCTACAAGTATTGTATCTCGCCTATACCCATGGAGACCACCTTGCCGATTTTTCTGGATTTCTTCACGTTTGATTTACTGGATGCTGTCAAAGCCCATGCAACCTATCGCTTCATCATACAAGATCGGGAGAATCGCAAAGTACAATTCTTGGTATGTTGTTTTTAGTCGACAAGATAAGGGATGATATTGACACAATGCATTTATCAGCTCTGGATGTTTAGTTGGAATACGCGTATCATCTACAACAAGGGGTTTGAAGATCAAGTGACAAAGCGATCAGATAAAATCCATGATAAGAAGGGTATGTTGAAGCTTGCATGCATGATGTGGCATTCGCATTGATTGAAGCTTGGTAATCATTAGTGATGAAAGTGCTCTATCTGGATTGTACCCAATCGAATGAAATGGTGGACGACCATATGCAAGCGTGGAAGAAGGACAAGTCAGCTGACCATCTAATGTATCCTGCATCATGCTGCAAGCTTGTACTCAAATCACTTCAGCAATCGAATCAGATATTACCACCCTATATGCGCACCATAAATAACCCTGTCATGAAACTTCAGCATAATTTCTCGGTTGGATTCCTTGAACGATAAAATAGAACCTTGTTCTCCTTTCTTGTCCTTGCCATTCGCGCACTTGTATCCAGTGACTGATGTCTTTATTGCATGATGGATGAGTTTGAGAAATTAATCCCACCTACCCTTAGTGGTTATCCCAATTGTGTGAGGTCCCCTTCATCACAAACCCGATCAATTCAATGCACAAGGACATCTTTATTGTATCAGCATACAAGGCCAATTATGGACCCACTTCTATTCCATCTATGGTACAATCATAATCCACAAGCAAGCAAGAAAAGGATAAGCTAGCAAAGCCCGAGCGGATAAGAAACAATGCTTCTACCTACTTTGCAACCATCGTCTTCACATTTGTCGCCATAGAAACAATCAGCAGGCCTGTGCCACTATATCTTTTGACAGCATTCTTCTCGAGATTCCATGATCAAAGGTGCTGCTGATCGGTGCCTCCATGTCAGTAGGATCCTTGCAACCTTGATGTGTACTCCCATTCCTCACCTTTCTTGTTCTTGTGTCCTTGAAAACCACGTCAGCATTCTTGATCGAGAGGTGAGGTGAGGTTGGATGCCCATGTGCTCATCGTGCAACAGGATCGTTAACACCTGTTCCCATCAACTTCGTTATTGGTTGCCATGGCTTCATTCACGCTGTCTCCATAGGTTACCAAGATGACCAAGATAGACATAGATCATCGAGATGCAAGCACACAATGATAGCAATAAACGTAGTATACATTGTAATAAGAACAAGTGGAGGGTTTGATTTATTAGCATACAAGAGGTTGTTATCTTCACTACAGTAAACAAGGGAAAGTGGGTGATCTATTACTAAGGGACACCTTCTAATACTACTAGTACCCCCTTCTAATACTACTAGTACCCCCTTCTAATACTACTATTATCATTTTCATAATTTTGGTCGGCAACCAGAACTGCTGGTATAACGCAACACTCCAGCAGACGGCGCCTCATCTTTCCTCATTGCAGAAGGGGAACCGCTTCACGTCTGTTGCGCTAGCGTAACCTTACACCCTGTCAACTGCGAGGTAAAGGAACTCTCATGCCAACCTCACAAGGAGCAAGGCATATACATACTCCACTCCTGCAACAATGACCAGAACACGCTTAGCGGATAACATCCAGTCATGCTACGACCCAAGAGCATCCATGAACACGACCAGCGCAACATGAATACTTTCAGGCGGAGGGGTAACGAAGAAGGGGGAAAAAACCTCGCTTTGTTACGCGGCAAAGGCTGAGGAAAAAAACCCCCTGTGCAGGCCACTCCAATCAACTTGTTCTAAAACAAACTTATATGAGTACACAGTGCCAAGAGATGAATGAACAATAGAAAACTTACCGGGCAAGAGAAAGGAGGATACTGCGCCTCAGAGGAAAAGGGCTCTGTTTTATAAGAAAAAGAGCGCTCTTTCAAACGCGCAAATTTTT